ATAATTTTTATGTTTAAAAATTACTGTACAAATACCACGTTTTTAACCTAAACATTTTCCAGCCTGCTTCACAGACATATAATATTATTTTTAATAGCTCTGTATTATCAAGTTGACTTGAAGGACGAGAATTACCTCCTTTATTGATAAACCTTTATTTTCAACATTATGCTATTATAAATTATAGCAATAAATGTTTTCATGTTTCAATTTTTTCTTTCACAATAAAAATTATAATTTTGCCGTAATGGGATTACTGGTATAAAGCACATGAATTATCTACCTAGCTCTCAAAATTGATTTCAAAAGAGGTTTTACCAATATTTATACCCCCACCTGAGAAGTATAAATGTTCCTATTTCTTCTTTATTATTAGGTGCTAACATTTTTAATTTTCTACGTATTTAATAGGAGGCTCTGGTAGCATAGTGCCTAAGACACTTGACTGCTAACCAGAAGGCTGGTGGTTCAAACCCACTAGCCACTCCTCAGAAGGAAGGTTGGGCAATCCTACTTCTGTAGTGATACTGCCTCGGAAACCCAAGGAGGGGTCGCTATGAGTCGGGGCCAGCTCAACAGCACATAACAACAGCAACATGTATTTAATAGGTATAAAGTAGTGGTGGTTTTAATTGGCATTTCACTGTTAAACCCACTAGATTCAATATACATATGTTTATTAATTATATCCTCCCTGGACTCTGGTGATGTAGTGCCTAAGGTATTTGACTGCCAACCAGAAGGCTGGCGGTTCAAATCCACCAGCCGTTCCTCAGAAGGAAGATTGGGTGATCTACTTCTGTAGAGATACCACCTCAGAAACCCAAGGAGGGGTCATTATGAGTTGAACCAACTCAACAGCAGTGAGTTTGGTTTTGTTTTTCAGTTTTTTTGTGTAGTCTATTCATGTCAGGCCTGGTTGTTTTCAAGTTCTGATGCAAGAAAACAAATCAAATACATAGGCCTACAAGCCTTTAGGAAAGCACTTTGGTTAAGTGCCAGATGAGCTTTTGTGACTCAATTGACAGTTTTCATCATCACACTTATTAAACCCCAATGCACCAGAACGAGTCATGTATGTTTGCTTTCCCTCAACCAGTGCTGGGGTTGTTGTGTGCTGTCAATTGTGACTCTTTTTAATTCTTTACCTTATAGGTCGTCTTCAAAGACCCTTTTGGTAACCCCTGAACCACTGAGAATCCATACTTTCCTTCTTCTGGAAGCCCACTTTTTTGTCATAGAATTCTAGTAGAGTTTCTAATACCAAAAAGAGAGAGAAACCTAAAAATATGTCTCCTTTATATCAACAAGTGAGGAAAAGTTTTAACTTGAAAACAGTAACTATTACCAAGCTTTACACCTATTATTTCTCAAACAGTGTTCATAATACTTTATGGAAAGACGAAGAATGACAATGATAGCATAACATTTTTTTTCCTTTACATCATTTGTTTCTCTTTTTTTTTTTTTTTTTCAGGTTATTGGCATGGAGTTTTATAGTTTTTTGCTGTTGTTTTTGTTGTTGTTGTTTTTCAAAATTTAAACTATTATGCCCCTGTTGCTATAAACCTTTTCTCATTTCTTCTGCTGTCCATTTGGATTTCTTCTTTTTTTCTTCTTTCTGTCTTTCTTTTAACTCTTTATTGTGATTTGGGTGAAAGTTTATTAAGCAAACAGTTTTCCATTCAACAATTCATATACATTTTATTTCATGATATTGATTGTAATACCCACAATGTAACAGCACTCATCCTACTTCCTTCCTGTGTTTGTATCCTTCTTTCCTAACCCTTCCTGACTTCTGAATTTTGTCTCTGAGAAAATACTGCCTTTTGATCTCAAATAGTTGATGGTTCTAAGGAGTGCACACCTCCTTGGTGCTATTGTTCACCTTGTAGACCTGTCTATTGTTTGGCTGAACATTTTGCCATGGGGATGAGTTCAGTTTCAGACCTGAAGGATGTCTACGAATCAAGATCTCAGTGGTTCCACCAGTCTCTATCTGACCAGTTAGACTGGTCTTTTTTTATAATTTTGAATTTTATTTCACATTTTTCTCCCATTTTATCTAGCACCATCTAATATGATCCCTCTCAGAATGATCAGTTGTGATAGTTGGGCACCATCTAGTTCTTTTGGTCTTAGGGTCATAGAAGATGAGGTTCATGTGGTCCAATAGTCCTTTGCACTAATTGTTTCCATGTGTGTTTGATTTTTTTCACTCTTCTTTGCTCCAGATGGAGAGTCTAATAGTTGCACCATAGATAATGGTACAAAATTTTATGACCCGTCACTACTCACCAAAGTTGGATGTAAAACACTGTCTTTGTGGACTATGTTACGCCAATTGACCTTGACATTTCCCAAGACTATGGTTCTGAGTCCCCAGGCCGAGTGACTCATTCCCTTAAGATGTGTTGTATAACTCTTCTACAAACACAGATTTCTTTGTTTTGTCTCATCAAAACTCAGCTTTCTAAAAGCCCCTCTTTTATTTTATTTATTTATTTATTTGTTTGTTTGTTTGTTTGTTTTAAGAACTTGTTTTACATTCGACGTAACGTATACATTTAGTTTCACTCCCCATTTACCATGTCAAGCCCTAACCCAGTCTCCTCCCCTCCCTACCCTGTAACCTTCCCCCAGTGCCCCTCATATTTATGTACTCATGTTTATCCTACATTTCCTTAGTTTGAATGTTGGTCCTTTGGTCCTGTGGTCTATTGCTCTAAGGGGTGTATTACCATAAAGTATATGGGTGTGTTATCCTGAGTTGATTGGGCTGCATGTACATCTTGTTAACTATTGGACTGAGAACCTGCCCCTCAGGGTGTATTTTATTCCAGGCGCAGAATGTACTCCAGGGCCACAGTATTAGGGGTCTCACCAGATTTCATCTGACCAGTAATTCTGGTTCGTTATTGAGTTTTTGGATTTTGTTCCACATTTTTCCTCCCACTCTCTCCAGGATCTCCAGATCTGATCTTTTCCTGAGTGGTTAGCATTTAGATAAACATTTTGGTACATTTGTTGAAACTGTTGTTGTTGTTGTTATGTGCTGTCGAGTTGGACCCGACTCATAGCAACCCCTCCTCAGGTTTCCGAGGCAGAATCACTATGGAAGTAGATTGTCCAACCTTCCTTCTGAGGAGTGGCTGGTGGGTTTGAACTACCAACCTTCTGGTTAGCAATCAAGTGCCTTAGGCACTATGCTATCAGAACTTCTTTGTTGAAATTACAAACAAAAACTAATAATAGCTATTTAAAAATACTTCAATAAGAGGTACATTTTCATTTCTTTTCCAATATCTTTAATTTCATTTTCCTTCTCTATGAAATCTTTTTTTCTAAACATAACACTTGGACAAACAGATTGCTCCAGGAACATAATTCAGTCTTATCAAAAGGAGAGCTGTGATAGTTCTAGTCTGTTAAATTATTACATATATTAATGTGGTTTTGTCACTAAATTGGAAATAAATTTGTAGCTGAGACCACAAGAACCTTGTCTCAGTTTTAAAAGAGCCCACTACCTCAGTCTCAGACCCACATTCATATACATTTAACTAGATTCTTATCCTTGCCTCTGCCTGGTTAGTTCTTATAGGACAGCAATGCAATCCCTATACAGACTTTTGTTCATGCTTATTATTGCAAATAAAATGCTCATGTAAATATAGGGCAGGAAATCAGTAATATTTGTGAGGGCTATATCTTGAGAAAAAGCCCTATTAGTGCAAACAGTTAAACACTTGGCTGCTAATTGAGAGTTTGGCAGATCAAACTCACCCAGCCTATCAGTGGGACAAAGACCTTACAATCAGCTTCCATAAAGATTATAGCCAAGAAAACATAATGGGGTAATTTTACTCTGCCACATGGGGTTGATATGAGTTAAAATGGACTTGCTGGTACCTCTAACAACATTACCCTAAGATATCTCCAAATTTGCAAATTCCTGAATATCACTATATCATAAAATGTTAACAAAAAAGAAAACAAAAGTCCTCACAACGGGACCAATAAGCAACATAATGATAAATGGATAAACGATTGAAGCTGTCAAGGATTTTTCACTTAGATTCACAATCAACACCCACGGAAGCAGCAGTAAAAAAAGTAAGACATATTGCAGTGGGCAAATCTGCTGCAAAAGGCCTCTTTAAAGTGTTAAAGAGCAAAGGTGTCACTCTGAAGACTTAAGATATGCTTATCCCAAGCCATGATAATTTCAACAGTCTCCTGTGTATGTAAAAGCTGGAGCGTGAATAAGGAATGGCAACAATTGTGAGGGTGGTACAGGACAGGGTAGTGTTTCCTTCTGTTGCACATAGGGTCTCTATGAGTCTAAACTGACTGGGTAGCACCTAAGAACCACATCATATAATGTCTTATATGAAAGTGAATTTCCATATATAAAAAGTTTTTTACTTCGATAAACGATTTTTTAATTTAAGGTACCTTCCTCTTTTGAAATTGTTATTTTTTTGTTAAGCTAAATCAATATTTTTAGACTTCCATATGTTTCTTAACTTAATTTCAGGAATATTTTCTGAAAAAAATTAATATATTTCAGTTATCAGAACTTCTATATAAAGTAGAGCATCATAGAACCTTACTAACATGCAGGTCTAACACAGCGCACTAGGATTGACCATGAACAAAATGGTTTGCCTTATATGTCAGCCTTAATAATTGTTAATTATTAAATGAAACTTGAGAGAAGGGTCCCTTGCAGATAGCAAATTTTCAAAAACTGAATGTTCAGATAATAAGGAAGTACACTGCTTCCAAGCAGCTCTGCATAGCCTGAGGACACTTCTAGACCCACATCAAGTAAACATTGCACTAAGTTAAATTCCTTTACATGGCAGTCAGTGACCATTGTGACCACTCTCCCTTTATGGCAGAGCAGAGCCATGGCTAATCTGCAGGACTTGGGGACTTGTCTAGGCAAAGGGTGAGAAAATACAGAATATAAAATTTCCCTTGGTGGCTATTTATTTCTTTGTAACTCTCTCCCATGCACCTATAACCTCTTTATTTCTCAAACTGTAAATAAATGGGTTGGTCAGAGGAATTATAATCGTGTAAAATAGAGAGTACATTTTGTCCTGATCTTCAGCTAGGCCAGATGCTGGGCGCAGATATATGAAGATGAGGGTTCCATAGTACAACGAGACAGAGAGCAGATGGGCACTGCACGTGGAGAAGGCTTTGCTTCTTCTTTTTTCAGATTTTTTTTTCAGGATGTCATAGAGCACACGAGTATAAGAGATTATGATGGTCACTAAAGTGGATATTTGTATAAATGCACCAAAAATAAATATTATAAGCACGTTAATAGAGGGGTCAATGCATGAAATTTTGAAGAGTTGTAATATTTCACAGTAGAAATGATGGATTATATTAGCCCTGCAGAAAGTTAATCTTAATGACACAATCACATGAATCAGTGGATGCAGAAAACCAAGGGCATATGAAATACTTATCAGTTGAGTGCAGAGTCTGTTGGACATCACCACAGGATAAAGCAAAGAATTACATATAGCAACATATCTGTCATAGGCCATCACCACCAGGAGAAAACATTCTGTAGTCGCGCTGGCAGCAAAAAAATAAAACTGGGTAAAGCACTCTGCCAGGGATATTATTGTCGTTTTGTCTAAGAAATTGACCAGCTTCCTAGGGGTCACAGAGGTTGAAGTACAAGCATCTGCAAAAGCTAAACCACCAAGAAATAGGTACATGGGTGTGTGGAGATGGGGATCCTTCCAAATAAGAGCCATCAATCCAAGGTTCCCCACCATGGTGACAAGGTATATCACCAAGAACACCAGGAACAGGGAAAGCTGCAGCCAAGGATGATCTGTAAGTCCGGTGAGAACAAAGTCTGTTATCAGAGTCTGATTTTCTTCTGTCATATCCACCCCTTGCCAGTCACTATAATGAGAAAAGAGAAGAAAGCAGTCACTGACAATAATATGGAGCAGTGACATTTTAATTTTTTCTTTGCAAATTAAATGACACCTTAGTGGTATTTCCTATTTAATTGTTGTTATGGTAGCATAGTGCCTAAGGCACTTGACTGCTAACCAGAAGGCTGGCAATTCAAACCTACCAGCCACTCCCCAGAAGGAAGGTTGGGCAATCCTACTTCCATAGTGATACTGCCTCGGAAACCCAAGGAGGGGTCACTATGAGTCGGGGCCAACTCGATGGCAAATAACAACAACAACAAGAACAACAAATGTGCCGTCAAGTAGGACCAGACTCATAGCTACCCCTCCTTGGGTTTCCGAGGCAGTATCTCTACAGAAGTAGATTGCTCCATCTTCCTATTTAATTGGTAATTGTTAAAGTTTAACTTTCAGCCTTGAGTAAGATATGTTTACAAATTGAGTTTAAGTATACAGATCTGAAATTGGAGGAAAAAATCTGAAATAAATGCAAGTATTTGAAATGATATTAAAATCATTATTTCACTGCATGTGGAAAACAAATGGCCCAACAATTTAGAATAGGCATAGGTACATAATTTCTATTGCATGCCACAATAGACCATAAACAAAAGGACAGGGCAAAAAATATGGTGGGAATATATTTGCAGGATGTATTTCATATATAGGGTTAGTGGACTAACACACACACATATACATACACATTACAAATAGGTGAGAACAAGTAAGATAATCTATTAAAAAAATTTTAAAAGATATGAAAAGATGTTTACAGAGAAGCAATTCAAACTAAACAGTATAGGGAACAATACTTAATCTCCTTAATAATTAGAGATACAATTAAAAATTGGTGCATTGTTTTCACTTAACAGATAATAAACATAAATTGATAAATAATACTTACTGATGACAGAAATGTGAGAAAAGAGGTCATTTCTAATATAATCATTAGAAATGTAAATTGTAATAAATGTCATATTATCTATGAAAATTAGAAATATTTATGAGCTTTGATTTAACAATCACAGTGCCTGATATATATTCTAGAAATAATATCACACATACACTAGAATAAAGTACACTGATGTCTGTAAAGCATTGCTCATATGGGCAAAATACTAGAAAACAAAACAGTACTCATCATCAAGGTTTCGTTGAATAAATTATGATATAGTCTTTCTAGAGAATGTTATTCAGAATTTATTTTTTAATGAAATAAAGTAATACGAACAATAATAGGTAACATTGGATAATTCCCAATATATAAATTAATATATAAAAAAGTATAAATTATATAATCTCATTTGATAAAGGAATGTATTTTTAAAAGATTTTTTTCTGATATATAAATATGATGACATAAGAATGAATAAAGATGTGGAAGATCATCATTATTATCATCTTTGATATTTTCACGAAGTAATATGATTGATTTTCTTCGATCTAAATATTTTAGGATAAGTATACCACCTCTCAGGAGCCCCAGTGACACACTCAGCAACTAGCAGAGAAATAGCATAATGCCTAAGGCACTTGACTGCTAACCAGAAAGCTGGTGGTTCAAACCCACCAGCCACTCCTCGGAAGGAAGGTTGGGCAATCTACTTCTGTAGTGATACCGCCTTGGCAACCCATGGAGGGGTCACTATGAGTCGGGTCTGACTCAATGACACATAACAACAACAACCCACCAGCCATTCTGTGACACTCCTGGAAGTTGCAGTATTGGGTTCTGTAAAGATTTACAATATTGGAAACCATGTGACAGTTTTACTCTATCCTATAGAATCACTATGAGTCAGGATTGACTCAATGGCAACAAGTTTAACTTTTGGTTTAGAGATCACCTCTATATTCCTTGAAAAGGAAACACAAATACTTTTAACACAAACAATAACTGTTGAAACAAATAACTTATTCATTCAAAAAAACAATTTCACACTTTTATACTCATATCTCTTGACAATTAAATGCATTAGAAGAACTGGATTTGCTTAACCAGTAGAAGAAACGATGAGTTGCATTCGCCTTCTTCACTAAGCTAAAAAATAAATAAATTTAATAAATTTAAATTACTCAAAATGTAATAAGAGGGATCACTATTACATTGCCAAAACTTAAACTCTTTGAAGTAAAATCAATTCCAACTCATACTACCACATATGACAGAGTAGAATGTTCTATAGAATTTCAGTCTGTGAATCTTTACTGAAGTGGCATGCCACATGTTTCCCCTGCAGAGCATCTGGTGGGTTCCAAGTGACAATCTTCTGATGAGTAGCTGAGCACTTAACTACTGCTCCACCTGCATGTCTTTTTTATAATCAACGGAGCCTAAAAGATTCATTTCAGTATGTTTTCAGAAAATAAAATATATGAATGTTAAGAAAATGCTATTTGCTTTCCAAGGTGGAGATTTTGTCCAAAATTAACTGGCCCAGCTTTCTTTGCAACCTTAAATCACAAATTAATAGGTATTTCTACTTTCATTTCCTAAATTCAGTGTAATTAAGGCAGAATTAGTAAATTCACTATTTTTTTTCTTAAGAGTAGTATCAAACAAACACCTACAAATTAGAATAAAGAAATTAATGAAAATTGTTTTAATTACTTTAGCCCATATTTTCATAATCTCATGAAATTTAAAGACGACTATTTAACATAGTGCCTAAGGCATTTATTTGACTGCTAACCAGAAGGCTGTCGGTTCAAACCCACCAACCACTCCTCAGAAGGCGGGTTGGGCAATCTACTTCCGTAGTGACACCGTCTGGGAAACCCAAGGAGGGGTCGCTATGAATCAGGTCCCACTCGAGGGCACATAACAACAACATATATTATAGCTAATCACCAGACTGAAAGCCAAGATTATTTTCATTCTGAAAAATTAAAAATAAACTGGATATACACTGTGTGACTGTGTATTTAAAAAAAAAACAAACTATACTATGAAGTAAATGTTGAAGCTGTTGAATCATTCTTATCATGGTTACTTCAATATTTCTATTTACTTTACTCTTCTATTAAAGTTTATTATTTACAAAACTTTCTGATAAATGTATTTCCTCCAGAGTAAGTTACCCTCTATCATCGGTCCACATTTTGGTGGCTGATGGAGAAAAATCTCAGTGCCTCACTGGAATTTTAATTTCTTATATAGCTATCATGTTATTTAGGCACAAATTGCAAAACTCTAAGTCATAAAAATTTTAAAATCATGATAGTCTTACCAAAATTATGTAAGTCAGAGGGAAACTGGAAAAATGCTAGTTTTCTTGAACTAACATAGAAAATGCAGAAATCTGGCACTGATCATTTTCTCACTGATTTTCATCAGTAACACCAAAATGAATGGAAATAATATGTAGTACCTCTATTTTCTAGTTTGTTTCTTGTGTTGTTTTAAAAAAAAAAAAGGGGAAAAGGAAAAGAAAGATATTCCCTCAACATTTCCTATTGATTCCCTTTAGGATGGATTCAAATTTGTTCTACTGGGCATTATGAGTTAATCATCACTTCACTCCTACAACTACTGTAACAATTAAAAACTTAGGATCCTCGGAGAATACTGTGAACACTTGTATTCAAAACATTAATAAACAGGCTTTAGAAAATATTTGTTTTCCTTTCTCTTGTTTTTCTTAAAATTCTCATCACTGAACTATTTAATATATCCCTTTGGAAATCTACAAGTATCTTAGATTTACCACATCCAAATCTGAATTTAGGACATTCTGTTACCCCATATTCAGATCTGGCTGTCTTTTAGTGTTCTCTGTCTCAGAGAACAGCATCACTAAGTAATAAGTTATGCAAGCCAAACCAGGGAAATTTCCTTGTCAGTGAACATTTCTTCAACCTCCATGGATCAACTTTTGCCAATTCCTAAATTTCATCTCCTAAAATCTCTCATATACATCCATTTCTCTGCTTGTCCTCAGACCCAACCAAATTTTAGCAAATTCATCTGTTGTATAGATCACTAAAATATCCTCCCAACAAATTTATGTACATCTATTAACACTCCTCTTCAAATCATTCTCCAATCTGAGCTAGACTAATCTTATAAAATACAATACCAATTATTTCTCATCCCCCGATCCATTCCTACCCACTCATCCCCTTCTCTACTTAAAAACTTGTAACTATTTCCCATTGCACTTAGGCTAAAGATCAAGATTCTTAAGTCAAGTTAACGCTTACTCCACATCACAAAACAGACCCAATATTTAACATATACACTACTTTTTTTTTTTTTTTCCATTTTCATTGTGTGAATGAATTAGTTATAGTAACATTAGCTGCTTTACGAAATAAACCTCAATATCTTAGTGTTAACAAAATAGAAGTTTATTTCTCCATCAAGTAAAATTTAAACAGGTTCCTTGGTTGGTTCTACTCTAATTTAATCCTTCCGCCAGTTTCTCTACCATCTTCGACACGCAACTTCCATGTTTGCTATATTTATCTTGGATCGATGAAATTAATGATAAGGGCTTGTTGAAAAGAGTAGACCAGAATGTCCCACAGCCTAGATTTGTCTCATTTTTCCTCATGATGTTGTATAACTTTCTTACTGTAACCTCACCTCATTTCATGTATGTAGAAAGTAGATTTACTGGTCGGATTGAGGTTTGATTAATGATTTTTTCAAGAACACTTCACCTGTGATGCTGTGTCTTCATATTGCAACACAACAGAAAATACCTGAAGTCTGATTGCCTTAATATTGCTGATTCATAGTTGCAGTTAACCTTATGACAATTACATCTCTCCATTATAAAACTATACTTCCTCTTGTATCTTGTCAGCAATACGTGGGAGACACTTTGGTATCAGGTAGGTATCTGTTTACTGTCAAATTTTTACCTAATATTTCCACCATCCATTGATAATCCCTGTCTGAAATAATTATTTTATTACTGATTTTCTAATGTAATCATTTTCTTTCACATTTGAAAGCT